CAGGAGAGAGATAAAACAAATTTTAAAAAAATCTAAGATAACCAAAATATCAATGTATACTACAAACACTACGTATAGAGGTTTTTGAAAGTAAATCTGAAATTACCAAGAATTAAATGTGTAATGATAGTAATTCAAAATGGCTCCGATAAACACTCACTTCGGAAATTATCAACACAACTACTAAGGAGCAGCAGTGTTATACAACACCGTAAAACAATTATTTAAGAGTGCGAAAATTTATCGGCAAAAGATCTTGACTAGGTCAGCTTTTATAACAACATCTTGTTGAAATAGGCTCAAAGATGAAGAAACATTTCAGAATTCAGGACAAGTTGTAAATATTGAAACTGATAACGTCAAATTGGAATCCACTTTTCCACATCTGTCTTCCATGACTGCAATAGCAGATATAAGTCAATTCCATTCTTTGAAGTTGGAGTGAATGAAAAGCTACTAATTCGCAACCATATTTTGACATTGACTTCGGTACGATTTTTGAAAAAAAGAATTCCAGTTTCATCTCCAAATATAAGTTTAATTGGTAATATAATTCTGGCTCTGGGAGGGCAAAATGAACTAGGATGTGTAAGACTTATATCCCTAAGGAGGCAAATTATTCAAATATTGATTGCTGGTAGCATTGTTTCAATATATCGATATTCATTTTGCTTACAATTATGTGGTTGTTTACCTTCGTTATTTCATTTAAGAAAATTAATTCCTTATAAAATTTTTCTGCCAATAATTCATCCTATCTAGGAAAGATGTAACAAGGATAGTTTATTCATTCATTTACTTTACGGCAAACAGTTAAAAACTTTGTGTGATGTACTATGGAGAGAAGGGTATCCGTGCATGATTTCTTAATTCTGGGATACCTACCCTAACTCTCCACAGACTGTGGAGAAATATGATAGTTTTAAACAGGAATTAAGGGTTAGGGTTTGTTATTTTTTGAAGTGAATTGCTGATACGGTTACCTGATGAATATAAATTACTAAGTTGAGTGTTGTTGGTACTGACATTGATGTTTGCAGAAAATATATTCCCGCCCTTCAGTACGTTATTTTGGTGAAAATCACGTTTGTGGAATTTGCTTATTATTAATACAATTCATTTTTGTAATCTAAAAGTCTGGGAGCTATAAGATGTATTTCCTCAGAATATTATGCCATATCTCAAACAGGAATGAACATCCGCAAAATATATCATAATGAGGAGTATGAAGGTATGAGTAGGGTTTGAAATGCATTGCATAATGAACTTAATTTGGAGTACAAAATTGTTTATTTGAAGTAGAAAAATGCATTGAAACAGTTTTCTTTTCATTTACTATTAATTTATTATTACTGAATTCTTTGTTCTTAGTAACCATGTCTGTTGTTAGGTGCACTTAACATCATCTTTTTGCGAGTGTTTTACAGCTGTTGTGGCTGTTTCTTGCATGCTAATCTCCATACCACTCTATCGTTCCAGTCATTCTCTTCTAGTTCTCTTCTTTGCATATTGTTAAAAATCTGATTCTGCCATTCCTCTCTGAGTCGTCCTCTTTTTTTTATGTCTAAAGGAAAACACTTGAATACCTTTCTGGGCTATCTCCCACAATCTAGCCTTTTCACGTGACCAAACCATTTCAGCCTTTGTGTTTTCAATTCATCTATTATTGATTTTTGAACCTTCATTCGCTTAAGAATTTCTTCGATTCTAATATGTTTCATTTTAGATACTCTACAACTTCTTCTCAAAAAATCCATTTGTCGGCTCATTAATTTCTCTCTTTCTCTTTTCCATAGTTCCCATGTTTCTGCACCATACTATTTTATACTTTGTATGATAGAGTCGAATAGTCTTTTCTTGGTGGATTTGGATATTTCTTTTCCCCATAGCAGCAAGTATAACTTTCTAATATCTTGCCGTCCTTGTGTAATTTTTGAAGCAATATCTTTTCTGGAATCTTCTTCTTCGCTAATAGTTTCACCCAAATATTTAAATTCATGGCATGCTTCTATCTGATCTTCATCTATTGATATATAATTTCTTTTCTTCTCTCCCACTACCATATATTTTGTTTTGAGGAAATTGATCTTTAATCCTGCTTTTTTGTACGTTTCGCATCATATACTCATGTGAAACTCATATTATGTCAAATACTCATGTCAAACTCATCAGTGGACAAAATCACCTGATCATCAGCGAATAATAATGTATGAAGACAATCTTCATTAATGTATATTCCCATACCTCGGAACATATTTTGGCATCCTTTTAGACTTTCTTGGAGGTAAATCTTAAACAAAGAGGGTGATAAACATCACCTTTGTTTGTCCAAATGACTGAGAAACTTCATTACCCACTTTTATTCTTGTTTCTTGATTCTCATACCAATCTTTTACGGCATTTATATATTGGGCGCTGATACCAACCTTTTTTAGAATTTGGAAGAGTTTACCTAATGAGACCGTATCGTAAGCTTTTTCTAAATCGATAAATACAAGGTAAGTCTCTCTCTTTGTAGCTAATCCCTTTTCTAGCACCTGCTTTATTGTAAAGATGTTATCAATACAACTTCTATCAGCTGTAAACCCACTTTGCTCATCTTCTGTATTGTGGCGTCGTCGGGTGCGAGTAACACACAGACACGGA